CCATTATCATCTGTCATTGCATTTGTCATCTACGTACCCATCTGCCCACTTAACTTTTAAGAAATACATCTCCATCAGATTTCCTGCTTGATGCTGCCAACAGATCACCAAGTCAGAGCCTTTTGCTCTCAAGGGAAAGAGATACACATGAGCTATGGGTCACTGCTTCTTTTCAGTCAGTTCTGTTTATAAGCAATGAGTTCGCTAGAGTAGACAGTATGGGTTTTTAGAGCTGGAACACCCCAGAAACACATTTTTTTTTGAGACAGAGTTTCTCTGTGTCTCTCTGTCCTGGAACTCACTCTGTAGATCATGTTGGCCTTGAACTCACAGAGATACCTGCTTCTGCCTCCTAAGTGCTAGGAGCAAAGGCGTACACCACCGCTGCCTGACCGGAAACACCCATTTTCCCACATGGCAAACTGCTTGCTTGCTGGGAAAGTTCTGTGACTTCCTCTTCCCCTCCAGATGATCTCTCCCTGAGTTCAGCTACCCTCTAGCAGGCCACTGCCATGTGCCAAGTTCTGTGTGATATAGACATGAAGATGACATCAATTCTGTTCTCAAGAAGGTTACAGTGCAGGATAAGGACACACTAAATCACAAGAGCTGCCCTGCTTGATGATGAAGATGTTGACACAGAGGCCCCAAAGATAGAGGAAAAGGGCCTTGATTTGAATTTGGGGAGTTGGGGCAGAAGGAAGGATTTTCTGAAAAAAGACATATAAGCAATGCTTTGAAGGTTAAGGAGAAATGTGGTGGATGAAGGTGGGAAAAGGCACGGCAGACAGAGGGGACTGAGAGAGTTAAGACATGGAGGTGAGTCGGATGACACTGAAGCTCAAGATGGAAGTAGTGAGGACTGAGTCTGGAGAGAGGGCAGAATAGGCTGACAGCATGCCTGTAGTGGAGCTGGCTTGGCCGAGGATACCCTTCCTGAGTCTGGGGACTCTGTCCTCACCCACTCTCCAGTACTCCTTGGGATAAGAAACTTCACTACACTCCAGACCCTCATCTTTACAGCCAGAAGAGGCCCAATGCGCCATCCTTTTGCTTTAGGGTAGTGTAAAGACTTTATGGATCCCATTCTACCACCTCCATGAAATCTCTTTATTAATTTTACTTTATGTATACAGGTGTTTTTATGTTTTACTTTATGTATACAGGTGCATTTATGTCTGTGTGCTAATTGCATGGAGTTCCTATGGAGGCCAGAAGAGGAGGGCATCAGATACAAAGGACCTGGTGTTATGGCTGGTTGTGAGCTGCCATGTGGGTGCTAGGAATCAAACCGGGTCCTCTGGAAGAGCAGCCAGTGCTCATAACCACTGAGCCAACTCTCTAGCTGCCATGAAGCTTCTCTCTTAAAAATATTTTATTTATTTGATTTATTCACTTTACTTTTTGTGTGTTTCATCTGTGTGTTTGTGTGTGCACTGTGTGTGTTTAGTGCTCATAGATATCAGAAGAGGGTACCAGATTGCTTGGAATTGGAGTTGTGGATATTTGTGAACCACTGTGTGAGTGCTGGGAATCAAACCCAAGCCCTCTACAAAAGCAACAAGTGCTCTCAACCTCTGAGCCATCTCTCCAGCCCCACGAAGCCTCTTTTGACTGCTTGCTGCTCTTAATGAACTCTAGTTTCTTGGCTACTCATTGGAATGTGCATTGTTGTTGTCTGTCACCCATGACTTCTCTGTACAGAGAGCACATAAGCTCCCGAGGGTTGCCTAAGTGAGTCACCTGGTCACAGTAATAAATATCCATGTAAGAATGAGTTTTGGACTTGGACAGACCTGTGCTTGATGCCACTAATTGCTGACTAGTCTCTAGAGGCAAGTCTTAAAAATACGTCTAATGCCCCAATTGTCTCATGATGCTCCCAACTCATGGTTTTCTAGGTGTAGACACGGGTTGGGGGCTCAGAGAAGGCACTGAGAGCTTCTTCCACTTGGATATGTAACAATGGGGGGAAGACACTGGGCGCAGTGCAGCTTGGGCTGATGGAAAGGCTGTTGCGCTCAGGCTCCGTAGATGCACAGATGCTGGCTTATTCACTGGTCTGCACATGCCTTAAAGTTATAAAGCTGTGGCCTGCACTACCTTGGGGCTAAAAAAACAACAGTGTGAGAGCCGTTATGAACTGACCCAGGGCTTCTCAGAAAGCCAGCCATGTGCTTTGTGCTAGGAACAGAGTCTCTGGAAGGGAGCACTTCCTGGGCTGGAGCTGAGGCTAGACCAGGAGGCAGCTGTGTGCTGGAGGATGTTTGCCAGTAAAACCTTAAGAGCCACTTGGTGGGGAGAAACACCAATGACATGTTTGTTCATTTTGTGGTATGAGCACTCCCACAGGGATGATTTCAAACTGCCAGGGTGACACTGGTGGGCTGCAATCGGGAAGACCTGTCACAATGAGCTTTAAAAACCAGCACCGCCCGGCACGGCAGTGCATGTGGTTGAGCCTCACACTTGGGAGGCAGAGGCAGGTGGATCTCTGAGTCTGAAACCAGTTTGAAGCCAGCATGATCTACATATCAAGACTCAGCACAGCCAGGACTACATAGAAAGCCTGGGTCTCATACCAACCAACCAACCAGCCAGCCAGCCAGCCAGCCAGCCAACCAGTACTGCCTACCTCCAGCACACTGTTGGGGGGCAAGCTTACTATGTATGGCGATTGAAGGGCAGTTTGAGGGTGGAAGTGGAATAGGACCCCTATAGCAGCTCACAGGAGCCAGGAATCCTAATTTCTTCTATTTTACAGAGTAGGAAGCTGAGGACCAGAAGGCCATCTTGTTTGTCAAATGCAGTCAGGACTCCAGCATGGGGAGTGTGCTCCGGCTTTTAGCACCTCTCATCTATCTGTTCTCAGGACAGGATTGCTGGCCCCGGGGGTGGAGGCTGCCCCTGTGGCACCAGACTCTTGTTTAGGCCACTTCCAGATGAGTCTCTGGGCTTTGGCTGCATAGCAGTTCTGTCCATGATGGTACCTGGCCCTACTTGGATCCTCTTGTCACAGTTAGAATAACTGGCCCAGAAAGTTAGTGGAGGCAGAAGGCAACCTGTGGGATGCAGTGAGCAAGGACATTTCCAGACCTAGAAATTAATTTTTCACAGCACAGAATCTGTATCTGTCAGAAACCCCCCATACTAGCAGCACAGTTTAGTTCCTAATAATGCATTAGTAATAATTTGCTAATAATTATTAAACCTAATCATGTGATCCAGAGCTTTGAGTCAGACAGTTGAGTCTGTTCGGGGATTGGAGAGGGTGGGAAATCAAGGAGGTAGGTGAGAACAGGGACTGGGCAGGCTTGGTGGAAGACCATGCTGGAGGCCTGTCTGATCACAGAGAAATGCATGAGACCCTAGGCTTGCACCTGTGCCCTGATGCTGGTGTGTGTGTGTTGCTCCATTATCACTGATAGCAACCTTGATATTGATAACAAGAGGGATTGTCCTTATCAGGTAGCTGTGGTTCAACTCTCAGTCTTCAGGGCTGACAATAGCCTGCAGAGGTGAGAACTGATATGCAGAGGTCTCTGCATTCATCTGGTGGGAACTCCACCGCTGTCTGACATGGGTATTTGCTGCTCACTATTCAGGAGAAATGCTTTGGAAGCACACTGGGTGTGCATGAGCACACACACGTGTGTATGTGTTTCTGGATCTCCTACCATTTCCACACTCCAGGGAAGAGACTGGACAGAGGCCTGGAGATGGTGGGAACTGGGAAGTTGACAGGAAGATGTCTCCCCACTAAGACCCCAGAGTGTACCTAGAGGAATGCTATAGCACGCTCTCCCCCACTGATTGCTAAGGCTGTCATAGTTAAAAATGGAAATAAATTCATCTCTGGCCCTGTCCTAAGCCTCTTCTGCACACAGTGGGAGCCTAATAAATACTTTATTAGGAGGAGTGTGCACCAGGGAAGCCAGCAGCTGTTCCCAGCTCTGACTCTCAGAGACCGATGGGGCAGATCAGACATGGTGCCACTGGGATCTCCAATCTTTCTTCCACCCTGAGGTGACTCCAGGCCCAGCTGTTCCGGAAGAGGCTAGATCCAGGTTACTTCACACATCCTGCTTTGGGGAAGTTGGCTCTTCCTTGACAGATGCCCTTTGACTCTTTCCTATTGCACATGTGAATACTATTGAACAACCACAGTGTGCTGAGCATCGGAGGGCGAGCGCGTTCTGGGCAGCGGTGTGAAAACAGTGGGCTCAGACTGATCTCCGTTCAAATCCTAGTGCCTTTAATTGCAAGCTGGGTGACAAGAACCATATTTCTTATCTCTGTGTGAGTGGGCTTCTTTTCTTTTCCTTCTTTTTTAGAATGATGACGTCATTTCATAAGGTTGATACGGAGGATTGGAAATAATAGAGTCTCCTGCACTCAGCGCAGGTGCTCTGGCAGTAGTAGGTGAGCTTCTCCCTGTCAGGAGGAGTGGTCCCTTCCGCTTCTGGCGGTTCTTACTCATTGTCTCAAGTGTTAATTTTTTTCTTGTCAAAACAGTTCCCATGCCCCTGGGTTTTGGGAAGGTGTACGTAAAATCCTATGTGTGAAACAACCTGTACAGACACGGGCAGTTAATCAACGTTTGTCCTCCGTTCCCGCTCCGCTCAGCATGGTGACAGCTTCCCCTTTAGGATGCTCTCTGTCCTTTCCTCCCACCTCCCCTGCACCAGCATCCAGCCCGGATCTCTGTGGGCATCAAGATCCTGGCCATACCTCCCAGAGGAAAGAGGGCAGCTGCTCGGCTTGGGGGTGGGGTGTGGAGAGGTTGGGGTGGTGGTGGTCTTGGAGCAAAAACTACAGTTCCCAGCCCTCGTTGCGCTGCCACCGGCTGGGAGCGAAGGATGGCAGGCCCTTTCTTGGAGGCGGAGACTGGGAAGGAGGCGGAGTTAGGAGGGGTTGGAGAGTTAAGCCAAGCCAATGAAACCGCTGGCTAATAAGTGGGCTTGGCTTGCCATAGAACAGTGTTAGGAGGAGGAGAGCGAAGCTATTGAGCCAGCGAGGAGTGAAGCGGAGTCTGCCTCATACACTCCTAGAGGACCGCCTCCAGAATAGAGTTCTTTTCGCCCCTTCCTCCTTCTCCTAGCTCCTCTCCTGGCCTTTCTACCCGCCCAATACAATGCATACTCGAATGGCAGCCCCAGAGAACTGAAGCAAACCAAAGAGAAAGGACTGGAGCCGAGACACTTCTGGCGGGGAAGCTTGGATGCCTGGCTTTCTTTGAGGTCATCTCTGGAACCAGGGTGGTTTTGGGGTGGAGGGTCTTGCTGCAGGGAACCCAGCCAGGTCCCAAGATGGACACTTCTGGGCACTTCCATGACTCAGGGGTGGGGGACCTGGATGAAGACCCCAAGTGTCCCTGTCCATCCTCTGGGGATGAGCAACAGCAGCAACAGCAACCGCCACCACCGCCAGCGCCACCAGGAGTCCCCCAACAGCCTCCGGGACCCTTGCTGCAGCCTCAGCCTCCGCAGCTTCAGCAGCCTCAGCAGCAGCCGCCGCCGCAGCAGCAGCAGCAGCAGCAGGCTCCACTGCATCCCCTGCCTCAGCTTGCCCAACTCCAGAGCCAGCTTGTCCATCCTGGTCTGTTGCACTCCTCTCCCACGGCTTTCAGGGCTCCCACTTCGGCCAACTCCACAGCCATCCTCCACCCTTCCTCCAGGCAAGGCAGCCAGCTAAATCTCAATGACCACTTGCTTGGCCACTCTCCAAGTTCTACAGCCACAAGTGGGCCTGGTGGAGGTAGCCGGCACCGGCAGGCCAGCCCCCTGGTGCACCGGCGGGACAGCAATCCCTTCACTGAGATAGCTATGAGCTCCTGCAAATACAGCGGTGGGGTCATGAAACCCCTCAGCCGCCTCAGCGCCTCTCGGAGAAACCTTATCGAGGCCGAGCCTGAGGGCCAACCCCTCCAGCTCTTCAGTCCCAGCAACCCCCCAGAGATTATCATCTCCTCCAGAGAGGATAACCATGCCCACCAGACTCTGCTCCATCACCCCAACGCTACCCACAACCACCAGCATGCCGGCACCACTGCCAGCAGCACCACCTTCCCCAAAGCCAACAAGCGGAAAAACCAAAACATTGGCTATAAGCTGGGACACAGGAGGGCCCTGTTTGAAAAGAGAAAGCGACTGAGTGACTATGCTCTGATTTTTGGGATGTTTGGAATTGTTGTTATGGTGATAGAGACCGAACTGTCTTGGGGTTTGTACTCAAAGGTAGGGGCTGTGGTTTCTCTTTATACCTTCAACAAAAGGAGTATGTAGAGGAGAGAGAGAGAGAGAGAGAGAGAGAGAGAGAGAGAGAGAGAAAGAGTGAGAGAGTGATATGTTTTTTTTGCTTAGTAACTTCCCATGGTTTTCTTCCTTGGTCCTGTGAAAATTCCTTCTTTGCTTTCCTTTGTGGGGAGAACCCCATACACTGTGTCTAATTTGCAGACTCTGTTAGGGAGGATTAAAGAATCTCTTTTGAGAAATAGCTATTTTTTTCCTCCAGGCTCACTCGTACCAAAGCATAACCCAGCAGCTTAACGCACCAATTAATTACACTCTGCCTTGATGTGTTTGCCAGTTCCTGCTACTTCCCTCCTCTCCTCCCCTTCCTGCTCCACTCCATTTTCCCCAGGATAAAAAAGAAATAAATATCTGGTTGGGGATGGGGATCCTGTACCATTCTACAAGCCCCCTCCCCACTCCCCTTCTCTCCCTTCCCAAGTTTCTATTTCCTTTCTCTTCCCAGAGAGACTCCACAGTGAAACAGAGATGTTCCCAGGTCTCTCCCAAGGGCACTGGGTTAAAAATATAGGTGGAGGAAATCAGCAGTCCCTTCCCTCAGGAAGGAGGACTCAGAATAAACCTGCTGCTGCCTTGTAAACATGTCCTGATAAAAATGGCTACAGGTGTTTCCCAGGCAGAGCAGATGGGCACCGCCTTGGCAGCACACGGGGAGTGCCTTTCCTTAGGATGGGATGACAGGGCTTCCCCAGCGGGCCACAGTCGACACCCCAGTTCAGCCCTGGTTCTTTCCTCCCACCCCAACTCCTTCTCCCTTGGCATAAATAAAGATGAGTGTACATGTGAGTGCATGCTGGATGGAGAATGGCAGGCACAAGGCACTGTCTTGTGTGTGTGTGTGTGTGGGGGCTCCATTGCCCTAGCCTTTCAGTCAGAGGAGAGGGGGAAGGAGACTGAGGAAGGTGGGTTTTGTCAATGCTGTACTTGCCATGAAGCTGCTGGTTGGAAGGCTTGAGACATGGGGAATTGTTGGACAAGTGCTTTCCCCACTGTGTCCCTTGGCCCCAGTTTGTTGCTGTTTGCACCAATCTGTAAGTGTTTCTCTGTGTACTTGTGTGAGTGCCTGTTTGTCGTGTGGATTTCTGTGTTTATTTGTCATTTTGGACAAGGGTGGCTGGGCTGGCTGGCGGGTAGCTGGGAGGGGCTCAGCTGTTGGAGGTTTCAAATGGAGCCTGTTTCAGGCAGGGCACAGCTGCTGGAGACGGTCACATTCCTTTTTGAGATCTAGTCACAAAAACCTGGGAGGTGCTGATCAGATTTCCTCCATCCCAGTCTTGCTCTAACCCAGCCTGGCCAATGCTCCTCCTCAGGCAACCTGCATGGACAGAGCCCAGACTTCCCAGCAGAGAGTCCTCCAGGGACCTGCTGCTTTGCAGGAACTGCCCAAGCCAGAATGCTTGGAAGCCGCCTCAGTGTCAGTGGCTTGTGGATGGTCAGACCTCTCCATGAGCAGAATGGGGTTTCCTCTGGAAGCCCAGCTCACTTAGTCATTCCCTGAAATGAGAGCCTGGGAGGCTGCAGGTCCCTCTGCTCTTGCCTTTTTACAGCTCCCTCTCCTGCTGTGTGCTCTGCTTGGGAGACAGGCTGACAAACTGACCCCCCCACCCCCAGAGTCAAGAGCCTTTGCTAGGGAAAACCCATGGAAGCCCATGTCCCAGGTGGCATAGCGTGCTCTCTTTACTGTTCCTTGTGGTGGCTCTGAGTAAAGCGGCTTTTCTAGGAGGCAGTGGCTGTGTCCAGCTCTGAATGTGGATCCATAATCATTTGTCTGAATGTGTTGAGTGGGGGTGGGGGGAGTGCACTGGGCAGAGATGACTATCTTTTCTGATGGGGAGTACTCATGGGAAGAGGCTTTCCCAGGAAGGGAGGTGTTGGCAGTGTGAGATCACCTGAGGTTCATGCTTCTGAGACTCCTCTGATGGTGATGGCACTAAGGGACAGAGGCTAAGACGCTCTGCTTGCCTCAGTTGGGGAGGTGGCCACTTCCAGTGTACCTTGATGATGGGATTAGCACAGCAAAATGTTCAGTGGGGCAATGTCCCTATCTGCCAGGGAGGCAAACAGGATCCTATCAAAGAGGAGCACCAGAGCTGGAGTCCCAGCAATGCCGCAACTAACTTGTGTGATTTTAGACAAGCTGTTTCCAGCTTCCAGGTGGGGAAAATGAGTCGGATGAGCTAAGGACTCTCCATAGCGCCTGCTCATTCAGAGGGCTTTGCTGTGGCTGTTTGTAGTGACTGAGGTGCACCTTTCCTCTGTAAGCTAACACTGGCTCTGGAGTAAGAGGGAAACTTGGGGATGAAGGAGAAAAGTTTTGCTGAGAATCTGGTTGTAGACCATCTTTAAATGAGGCAGCTGCTGGGGGAGGAGTCAGCTTCTCAGCCTTGGGCAACAGGGGATGGGTCTGTGGGAGAAGCACCCAGAGATACACAGGAGATCTTGTGTGCTTCTCTGATTTGCTGATGATTCTAGAAGCCAGAGGGTAGACCAGGTGACCAGTCATTTTGGGCAATTCTGCACCTACCATGGCAGTTTCTACTCAAAGGCCCCTGTGAGGGACAAATTTTTTACCTCTGAGTGACTGATGGCCTGTTACCCTGTGTCTTAGCTAACTCCGAAGTTCTCTGCTTTATCTCACAAGGTTGAACACTTTCTGTCCACCTATTCTTGGTTGATACCTGCTGCTGGGAGCGTAATTCACCATGCAGGCCCAGGTATTTGGGAGAAAAGCAATGCAGCAGGTACCTTGAGCATGCTCACAGTTGTTGCAAAAGGGAACTGGTGTGAGGAGGTTGGGAAACGGGGACAAAGTGCTTCCCAGCTCCCACCCTCACAGGCTGTAGGCGATGACAGTGGAAGGAAGTTCTCCTGAGAAGGGGAGGTGGGAGCCTGGGCGGGAGGGAGGGGCTGCCTTGTGGGCCCCAAAGGTACTAGTCTGTCCCTGAACTGAATGGAGGCTCTCACTTGTTTCTCCCTCCTTCTTTCCCTCCCTTCCTCCTTCCCTCTCTTTTTCCTGCCTTCCTTCCTCCTTTGCTCCCTCCCTCCTTTCTCCTGTTCTTCCTGTTCTTCTTCCCTCTCCTCCTCTTCCTCCCCCACCTGCATCTTCTTTTGTAGGTGGATTTCCTCTCTGGAAACTTAGACAACAGGACAGGGCTGAGTCTAGAGGTTCTGTTTGGAAGTGTTGGTGATCCTCTCTACCTATCAGATTCTCTCTGTTAGAGTCTAGCGGGATCAGGGTTGTTTTTCATACTGTGTTCTCTACTTTCTTCTGGAGCTGGTATGGCCCACGTAGCCCCTTTGCCTTAAGCTGTCAGGAACTCTCTACTAGGTCTAGAGGAGTTAGGGATAGCCTGGCCTTCTCTCCCACCTCTACACCCTGACAGAATCTCAGGCCTCAGTCTGTGGTTGCTTCTTCAGGAAGCCTGGATGTGCTGGGCAGCAAGGTAGCTGTCTGTTTCCATGGATTTTGTATGTCTCCAACAGCTTCCCCACCCCTGGCCTAGAGATCCCTCCGAGCTTTGCCTCTGCCTGATTGTTCATCCTATCTGTCCAACCAGACTTCTTGTCCTGCTCCTTTCTCATACCCCCTGCATGGCCTATTGCTAGGGTGATGCAGTCACAGATACAAGAGTCCCTATCTCCTTCCTTGGATGGCTTCTCCTCACTTCTTGTTACTTTTTCTTCTTTAGACCACCCGGTGGGCTGCACCCAAGGGAGCTAGTTTTACTGAGCATCTAGAGGAGCTGCTGCTGCATGCTCTTCAGAGAATGGTTTCCAGGCCAGGACTAGTTTGTTGCCTGACTCCTTGCTGGCCTCAGATATCAGGGAAGTCCCTAGTCTTCATCTGGAACAACTGATAGTATTCTAGGTTTTCCTTTCCATCTGTGTAGGGTGGTAAGCACAACTCTAGCACCTCAACATATCCCATATCCCAGTTCTCACCCTCTGCCTTCCTGAGGAGGGAGGTCCTGGCTGTACAGGGACAGAGTGCTAGATGGGCTAAATAGGATGCAGGGCCTGCCTGTCCCCAAGTGCTGCTTGAAGTCAGGTGATTGGTTGCTGGAGCAGGTGTTTCTGGAGGATTTGGGGGGCACCAGTAACTGTGATTTTGGGAATGCTGGAGAGGCAGAAATTGGAAGGGCAGACCCTTTTGTGGACCCCTGTAGGATGCCCTCCCAGGATGTGAAGGCAGGAGATTCAATAAGCAAAGCACTTTGGCTGCAGGACCCCAAAAGCCAGTAGCCAAGGACCTCAGGTCTACATTCTATTGTCACATGGTACACTGACTGAGCCAGCCCAGAGGAGGACAAGCAGATCTGACAGTGTGAAACAGCCAGAACCCTGCCCCCATGGTGACCATTTATTTATACTCTTTGTGGACAGTGAGCAAATGAGTCAAATCTTTGTAACCTATAGGGTTACCGCTAACTAGTTATATACTTTCCCTTGCATGTCACCCCACTATTTATAACTGTCCTGGGGACAGACTCCATAATGCTTCCAGACTTCCCTTCCCCACAGGCGGTGCTCCTGGGCGCTGGGCACTGGGACAATGGCTGGGCATTTGTCTCCCGAATAAGCTAATTAGAAAGCTACTCTGTGGCCTTTTATTCCCTTATTTAGCTTCCAGGAAGGACGATGTATGAGGCCAGCCTCAAAAGATCCTCTTTGAAAAAATTGGGTAGAGGAAAGCAGAACAAAATTGGAGTAACCTGTATTGTGACTCAGGCTCTGATGTAAAATCAGAGAGCTTTGGTTCCGTGCCAGTTATTTATGAAGCACAGTGTGTGTGTGTGTGTGTGTGTGTGTTGTGTGGGGTGGCTGTACTGCTACAATATCCCTTTTCTTTGCTCAGTGACAGGACCACCTATGAACATTCATTGATAGTTGTTTTTCTCTCAAAACTCCAAAGGGAGAGAGAGAAA